CAAAAAATATTTTATAGTCTATAGAATAGGAATTGAACAAAACACACCTGGCAACATATGACAACATATGATAGGTTATGAGAGCGCAGGGCCTCACATGATAACATATGATAGGTTATGAGGGCACAAGGCCTCATATGATAACATATGAGTGGTTATGAGAGCCAACTGTTCTCATATGACAACATATGAGTGGTTATGAGGGTCAAGTGGTCTCATATAATTTTTTATATGTTTGCAGCCCATTGGAGAATCTTGGGTTGCGCATTGTGTTCACCAGTGCATTTTTGCAAAGCAATGGGCAAGAAGTCAGATCCTGAAGCAGCTCCTGCAGCACCAACAAGGGTGAGGGTGAGGGCCAAGATGTCAGAAGCTGAAGCTGATGAATCAGCCAAGTTGCTCCATACAGGAGGGCAAGATGACTCTGGTGAGCCACAGCCACAGGAGTCACAAGTGCCACCAAACAAGAGGATGAAGCAGAATAAGGAAGAAGAACATATGGAAATCACTGCAGAGGCCCTGGCAAAGATGAAAGGTGCAGAAGACAGTGAGGTTGAAGAGTTCTGGATGAAATGCAGCTCAAGACAACACCAAGTCCTGTGGAAAAAGTTTCAGTCCATGCGCAAGGCAGAAGGGACAGAGGTGGCTTACCAAGATGCCACTAAAGGTGTTGGAAGGAATGCCAAGACCAAAAGCCTCATCAAGATGTGGCTGAAGTATGGTTCAAGCAAGCACCCTGTCCTGGTCCAGCACATGACTGAGCTGAGAACCACAGACACTTTCAAAAGCACAGAGAAGTGGGTGCCTTTGGAGACCATCAAACAAAAGTATGGAGCAGAAGAGCTCAAAGCCAGGGTCCATGGAGGCTCCATCCTGGTGAGGAAGTCAGAAAGTGATCCTCGCTTTCCTGAGTTCAGGGACTTGTCTGAGGAGAAGGAGACCAAGACCCAGAAGGTGAAAAGCAAGCAGTCTTGGTTGAATGGCAAGGGCTCTTGGGATGACTTCAAAGCTGTGGGTGACATGGAGGTGGCTGGGCACTTCCAGCTGGAGTTCAACAATGAAGATGGTAAGGAGAATGAAGATGATGATGAGGAAGAAGATGAAGGTGATGCCAGGGCATTGGCTCTGAGCTTCATTGCCCCAGAGGAGACCAAGCAGGGGAAGAAGGCAGCTGCAGTGAAAGATGCACTGAAGTCTTTTGAGACAGCCAGTGCCATGCAAGACAAAGACTCTGTGCCAGCTAAGGCACTGGTTGCTTGCCAAAAGAAGCTGCAGAAGCACTTGGGCCAGCTTTCCAAAAAAGCTTCAGGCCATGTGAAGGCAGAGCTTCAAGAGCAGCTGGCATCATTGGCCCAGGTGAAAGCTGACACTCCATGTGGGGTGGCCAAAAGGGCCCTAAATGCAGCAGCTGCAATTGGGAAGATGGCTTTGAAGGCTAGCTCAGAAGAGGCTAGCTGAAGGGGTTTTGTTGAACACAGGCTGTTGTGCCAGGCATATGGTTGTATGATGAAACTTGTCCAAATGAGCTATTGGTGTGGTGTGGCAATGCCTGGCTGAAGTCACAATTTCCTGTGCTCCAGGTATATTATAGAAGTGCGATGGCCACTGTGCCTTGGGGTGTTGGTGTGAAAAAGAATTGCCTGCCTGTTGCAATTTTTGCGCAGGGACCTGTGAAGGGCCCTTAGTCTTTTTTTCAGGGACCTGTGAAGGGCCCTTAAGTTTGCTTAGGCTGCAGGTTTTTCATGCTCATTGGGACCTATGAAGGGCCCTTTCAGGCATAAGGTCTAACAATTTGATGTTAACACTGCTGCCATGCAGCATGCCCAAGAGAAAGCATGAAGATTGCTTAAGAGGTGGCAGGCACCAGAGAAAAGCAGCAGTTGCTACTAGGGAGGATGAAGAGCATGAGCCTCTAGCCACCATTGGTGGTCTGAGTCCCTGCGCATTCAAATTTATAGAACACTGGTCTTGGGGAAATAGCAGTGCTTTTGAGATTCAGGAGCTTGCTCGCTCAGTTGAAAGGACTTTCAACAAAGTTCCAGCAGATGTGGCTGCCTTGGCAAGCTGTGGCTCACATGGCCACAACGCAGCAAATTCCCAGAGAGATATGCTAAGATTGCCCTTTTTGCAGAACCTCAAAGCACCAGATCCATATTATGTTGAGGCCAATGTGTTCCTCAAGTCTGGTGCACAGACTGTTGTTTCAAAAGAAGAAATTGCAATATTTTTGCCTCATGAGTGGGGCCATGCATTGTGTGAGAACAAGCTCCTAGATCAAACTTTTGGTGAAGTGGCTGACTTCAAGAACTTTTGGACCAAAGTGTCCCCAGAAGATCCAAAGCTCTATGCCAATCCAATCTTGGAGGAATTGAAAAATGGTCACATTTACATCCCTGTGTGTTTACACGCAGACAAAGGGCCTCACGCTAAGCAGGATTCACTTCACTGCATCAGCTTCTATAGCCTCATTGCATATGAAAAGAAACTTGGCTTGAATGAATCCAGCTTTCTTCTGGCTGCAATTCCCACCAGTTGCTGTGTGACAGCAAATAAACTGAGGGACATGAACCTCCCAACTGCAGAGGCCACAATGGACACAGTTGGGAGGGTCCTGAGCTGGAGTTTTAATTCTTGGTTTGATGGCATCCACCCCAAGAGAGATCCATGGGGCCAGCCTCTTGATGAGAAGAGGCAAAGCCTGGCTGGAAAGCCTATTTGTGGGAATGGCTTGAGGTGCACAATTTGGGCTGCACCAGCAGACTGCGAGCATAATTCTGCAGAGTATGGCCTTCCAAACCACAACTCAAACTCTCCATGTATGCGCTGCAAATGCAACAGAACAGATAGGCCTTGGAATGATTTCAGCAACCAGGCAGCTTGGAAGGAGACTTTGTACACCAAAGAGGAACTGAGAGCTTCCCCCTTGACATCCCATTGGACTCAATCCATCAAGGGTGTCTCACATTGGACATACAGCTATGATTTCATGCATTGTTGCGACATTGGATTTGGTAGTGCAGTTGTTGCCAATGTTTTCTATGACATTTTTTATAAAGAGCTCAAGGGCAAGAAGGGTGACAAGATGTCACAGCTTTTAGAATTGATCAAAGATGGCTATGATGCAGTGGGCATTACAGAGGGCAAAATATCAAAGTTGACACAGTCACACTTTTGTGACACTGATGCTCCTCACAAGAACTACCCCAACTTGCTCCACAGTGCAATCAAAGCCAAGCAAACTGCCAACCTAGTGCCAGTGTGCAAGCACTTGTGCCAGAAGTACTTGGATGGGTCTGGCTATGCAAAATGGAGGTTGAAGTGTTTGAGCCACCTCTGCAAGCTCTATGAGATTCACAGTGATGCTGGTCTCTTTCTAACTGATGGACAGGTGGCTTTGTACCAGGAGTCAGCCACCAAGTTTCTGCAATACTACAACATGCTGAGCAGATACAGCTTTGAACTGCAAGACAGCAGGATTGGACAGTATCAGTGGCAGCAATTGCCAAAGCAGCATTATTTGTGCCACATCAGTGAAGATGCGAAATGGTTGAGCCCAGCAGCATGCTGGTGCTATCCTGGAGAGCATTTGGTGGGCAACCGCACAAGGCTAGCTCAAGCATGCCTTAGTGGTATGCCACCCCATATGGTTCCCAGCACTGTGTGTAAAAAGTATCAGGTGGGAAAACACCTGCTATGCTTGCAGGGCTTTTGAAAGAGTGAGAAAAGGCAGCACAGCTGGGTGAGAGAGAGAAGAGAGAGCAGATATATAGAGTGAACATATATATATATATATGGGACCTGAAAAGGGCCCAGAGACATGTTGTTAATGATTTCAACAGGACCTGCAATAGGGCCTGCAAACATACAAAAATATTGATTTTCATTTTTTAAAAATATTGATCCTGATTTTTTAAAAATATTGATTTTATATTTTTAAAAACATAATTTTTTAATTTGCAAATATTGATTGATAATGCTCCAGATTGATTTTGCAAAAAATATTGATTTTTTTCAATATGGGAGTCTCTGGGTAGCGATGGCCTCCACCCTAGTAGCGATGGCATCCACCCTTAGTAGCAATGGCATCCACCCTTAGTAGCGATGGCCTCCAACCTAGTAGCGATGGCATCCACCCTAGTAGCGATGGCATCCACCCTAGTAGCGATGGCATCCAACCTAGTAGCGATGGCCTCC